AGCCCTATTGAAATTCAAACAAAACATAAGCCTTGTATGAGAAACATGTCTTTTGGATACAGACTCTGTTAGTTTTTGTGAAGCTGCTTGTTATTTTTTTTTTTTTTTATGAGGAAGTTCAGGAAAACAGAATACTATAGCTGTCAGCTACCAGACAATCCAAGAAGCCATTACGTGTTCTGCTATCTCTTGCAATCACACTGCCTCATGAAAGAGCGCACCATATCAATACTGGAATCTGCTTTTGCTTTGTAATATTTGCAAAACATTCTTTGCAAAAATCCTTGCTTCATTCCATCTTCTTAACAACCCTCAGAAAATCCTTGCACCTCCAGAATGAGGAAAGCTTTAAGCATGTTCATACCAGAGCCAGTACCAGGGACAACTACTACCTTAACCCAAGACTATGCGGGTACTGTCGACATTCAACTGAAACGGTGCAGAACGTTGAAATTGGTCTTTGACAGCTGCCTTCATCAGTACATTCAAACCCACTGTGATAGTGCCAGTTCTGCATTGCTTTTTGGTCTTGTTTATCTGAGGGATATTTGGCTACATTAACAAAAAAACATGAAAATACCACAAGTCTGTTAAAAATGGAACGTCAATCCGGGACAACCATAATCAACCAAGTGCACAGGTAACTCCATTTCTCCTGTTAATCCAGTGTAAGTTCAAGTTTGGGCTTTTAACAACATGAGGCTACGACTCATTATCTCTCTGATTTTTGCCCAAATGTAGGGACAACAAATCTTCCTAACAAGGACTGCAGACTTGTGATGTGATTAGTCACGGAAAAATTGAAGTGAGTTTGACATTTCCAACATTCATTTATTTGAAATTAAAGATGCCTTGTAAGATCTACAGACAGTTTAAAATTATGGAAATAATTGGGCTAGCATTGCCTGTGAAAACTAGGAAAGTATTGGGGCAGGGGGGAAAAAACACTTACCCTTCCCAAAACACCAGAATTAAGAAAAAAGATTTATTCCACTTCCCTGGAACAGATACTAGTCAAGATGGCTGCACAAGACCATGAGTATCAGCATCGTGAAATGAAGCATTTGATATAGCAAATACAGCCAGTACTCTTTGACTCAGTAAGAGCAGCAAGAAAGATGTCTGGGCTGACCCCCTTCTTCATCCATACAAGTGTGAAATTTTAATAATTAAAAAGAGCTTGGAAATTCTGAGTTTTCTGATGGCAGTCACAGGACACAGGCCAAAAAAAGACTACAAAGTCTAGCAACAGATATGCATTTGAACGACTTTTCTATATAAGGCAAACTGAACTAAACAAAGATAACCCATGGACCCGGTGTCAAAGGGAAATTCCAATTGGGCTTTACTTGGGTTTAATGGTCAACATCAGATAACAAAGATCATTACCCACAAGCAGCTTTACAGGCTAAAATAAGAATTCTCTCTTGAAAGTTCTTCAATTTCAAGAAAGAATTCCTATTTGAGCCAATACAATGAACTTTAAAGAACTTCCAAGAGCTCAGCTGCTTCTAACTTTGGCCATTTACTTATTTCTAAGAGACTCTAAACATCAGATATAGCCTTTCCCAAAAAAGAAAACATTTTTTCCCTTGAACTAACTAGCACAGGTGTACATTCCCAAACCAAACAGAAGCAAACACAACCTTACTGTATTGAAAGCTGACAAAGTAATTTCTCTAAGTTTTCAGAAGTGCCATTCAGGTTTGAAGAGACTTCATCTCTTGTGGGTTTTGTTGTTTGTTTGTTTTTTTTGTTCCCCCTGAAACAGCATGAGTTAGTTACTGCAACACTAGAAGAGCGTTGATGATGAGGGGGCTGGAGCATCTCCCCTGTGAGGAGAGGCTGAGAGACCTGGGGCTCTTTAGCCTGGAGAAGAGAGGACTGAGAGGGGACCTTATCAACACATATAAATATCTAAAGGGCGGGTTGTCAAGAGGACGGGGCCAGGCTCTTTTCAGTGGTATGACAGGACAAGGGGCAACGGGCACAAACTGGAGCACGGGAAGTTCCGCCTCAACATGAGGAAAAACTTCTGTACCCTGAGGGTGACAGAGCACTGGAACAGGCTGCCCAGGGAGGCTGTGGAGTCTCCTTCCCTGGAGATATTCAAAACCTGTCTGGACACAGTCCTGTGTGACCTGCTCTGGGTGAACCTGCTCTAGCAGGGGGTTGGACTAGGTGATCTCCAGAGATTGCTTCCAACCCCTACTGTTCTGTGATTCTGTGAAGAGTGCTTTTGTACATCAGAATTTTATTTTTCCATGTTAATCCAGAAGATACTAGAAATTCCATAAAGACATACTATTTCTGGTCATATAGTGTAAAATCCTAACAGAATATAATCCTACAGATAAATTACTATATAGACACTTCATCTTGGCTGCAGAGTAGTGCAATTAGGTAGCTGTAATATAAGACAGGAGAAAAGCTTCTGGAAATCAGAAGAGTTCCATTAGGGAATGTCACAATTCATTATCTTTTTCCTATTCTTCTCACTTTGGCTTATTTTTTGATCCATAAAATTAAGTGTTGTGTATTTACATATTAAAGATTATATTACTAATTTTGAATTATTGAAAATGTTATCATAATTATGTTTTTTTAAATTAGAATTGATCAAACAAACTATGACATGCCCGAGTCACAGTTCAGTATATAACTGGATCCATGTGCACATGAACACTGTAATCCTAATGACTATTAGTTCTGGTCCACTGACACCAAATACAGCACTTGGGTTGAACAATGCATCATGAAAAAGTTTGACTAAAATGCGTGTTCACATTTTTAATTTTTCTAAACAGCATTATGGCAACGAAAGACTGAGTTACTCCTAAATGGGAATATCCATGTAACGTTATACTACTGAAATAAAAATATTACAGGGCTTTTTTGATAAAACTCTGATAAGGTAACATGGACTTCCCTATACTATTAGTCCCAACTAATTTCAACGTGAATGTAAGCATTAGAATATATACCTTAGCATATACGGCAGAATGCTCACCACAGGAAAATCAGACTTGCTGTCTTAATTTTCTTTTAAGTATAGTAATGAAAGCTGCAGAGTCATCCCAAGGAGACTCAAGAAGTAATGTATTTGCTGACTGGCGTGTTGGTAGTGTCTTCTGCTCTAATACAACTGGGCTGTCAGGTCATGGAGCAGAATAAATAAAGAGCCATTGTAAAAATTAAAGAAAGCAAAGTTAGTTGTTACCATAGCATTCCGTGTGTGTTTTAGCAAAGCAATTGGAAGATCAAATACAGGAACAGCACTTGCTGCTATGACTCAAAAGACGCAAATTCTATTAACAGGCTGCACTAACAACATCCTTTGAGTCTCTTACTACTTCAAAAGCAGAACTTCTTGACATTTTCCTCTCAAGCATTCTGTACTTTTGTTGCTTGTGCAAAAGTGTTCTTCACAGGACAAGGGAAGTTATCAGTTACAAGTACAAATATATTTAATATGGAGGCTTCAGTCTCTCAAGAAAAGAAAACATCTCTTGCAAATCATGTTTAGTAACTGCTCTTGAGAAGGAAGATATAAGATAAAACTTCAGCGTATATCACTGTATTCTTTCTAGGGTAGCAGCCCTGGCTGCTTGCATTCTCTAAAAGTATGCAAATCAAAGAAGGAAATTATGTTAAAAAGCCAGTTCACGTAAGCAGGTACATCTCAAAGATCAATGACAAAGGAATACTAAAGACACTGAGGCCCTTTCTTCTTTCAAAGCGAATAGCGTATAGAGAAGAAAGACTTATTTTCCAGTGAGAAGCAAGCTTGATCCTGTATGCTGCAAGCAAAAAGCATACCAAAACCACTCTACACACGCAACCCCACATAATCAGAACTATCCTTCCCTCACAAGATTTGAGAACAAGCACTCTTATAGTGATGGACACAGCAAGACTATAAATGCTAATTCAGAAGTTGTCATTTGGTTATCTTGACCTTTAACTCTGTCACCCAAGCAACCTAATGCTCATCTTTGTGCCTTTAACTGATCCACTGCATTACACTGAATTTTTCCTGTTAGCTGGAAATTTTTTCACATTTTATAGACCTCAATATCAGAACAAAAAAAAAAAAAAAAAAAAAAGGACGTTTACATTTACAAAATTAATTACTTTTCTGTAAGCAATGAAATATCAGTGATGATAAGATTCACAAAAGAAATGCTAGCTATGAGAGAGTATAATTCTTTCTCAAGAGTCAACATTATAACCAGGAAGTCAGGCAAAAATAATAAACAGTGATAATTTGCAATTAGCTCAGTATATGTTGGGTTCCACTGAGTCTTCAAGAAAAACAGCTCATGCATAGCTCTAGCTTGGAGGCAGCTGGAGCAGCACTCTCTCCTTTTCCTCTGCACTCCATCCATATAAGCATCGAATCCAAATCAAAAGCAAGTTTGACTTCTTGGTTAAAACTGCTCTGTTAGAACCATGCAAAGGGTCATTTCAAAGCAATTCAGTGACTTCTAAAAGTTTCCTCCATGGGAACAGAATATGCAATACTCTACCTTTAAAACATTCTGAGACAACATCTAGTCCTCAAAAACTACACACATGTCAAAAGAAAGCCTAAAAGTCCAAGTCACTAGATCCCACAGAAAGAGTGGTATAGAAAGATATTTTAAACAGGCATGAGTACTTAACGGCCCATATGACTAACTGATCTTATCGGGAAAGGGAAGTTATTTTGAAGGCTGAGCTACTCAGCAAGTCAAAAAAAGAAGAAATTCTCAGAATTCCCTAAATCTATGCATCAGATTCACTCCTCCCCCTCCCCACCCCGCACATGTTTCACACTGGTTTTTATTTGGCTTCTTCCATCCAGACCTAAGTGGAGTACTAGGGAGAAAAATCAACCTCTGTTAGAATGCGGAGTTATAATAAACAGCTGCACCTATAACTGGACATTTAGAGGTCTAGAAAAATACAGAATAATTCCTATGCAACAAAGATATGTAAATTAAGGTTTTACAAGGTACCTGGCATGGAGTTTGTGGCTCTTCCCATTTTGCGGAGGGTACTCTTCTATAACATCCTGTACAAAAGGTGGCTGCTGCCGGTGCGTCCTGGTGTATGGCAATGTTCCCATATGGCTAAACATATCACAAGACCTAGTGGGAATTGCCCCCTTTTTCTTCCTGGGGAGAGTGCCATGGATAGAGATGTCTTGAAAGGAGTCTGAGCGATGCTCAGTTGGCGAAGGTTTAGTGGTCAAAAGGTCCATGGAAGAAGCTAATGAGAACTGGTGGTTCACTGGGCCATTTCCGGGAAGACTTGAAAATTTTCCTGCAGCTATCATTTTTGGCTCTGGAAAAACAAAAACAAGATTTATCATAGCACATTAATCATCAAAGCCCCCACTTTAATAGAAGTTAAACTGCGTTACTAACAAAGGCATCTAGAACTGAACTTCTGCTTTGCGCTGAGGCAGTCACTTATCTCAAAATGTAGCCTGTATTATAAGCCAGTCCCATTGCTCCCAACTGCACTTCGAGCACACGTGTATATTAACTTTTATACACATTAAAAGTCACAACAAAAAACATCTGATCTGGACACACATGCAAGAGAAAGCCCTGAGCGACTCTCCATTTTTATCTACAGAGTTCCTCTTTTTTGCTTCTTCACATCCTCTGAAGACTCAGACATCAACTTAGAATCATTAACAAAAAGCAAAGTTTAAAGATCATTTTGACAAAAGCTAAAGGACACTCTACAGCTTGGTTTGGAGGAACGCGTTTCTAAACCCATTAGTTGGCACGCTGTGAGGAAAAAACTGTTTCTGACGAGTCTTGCTCAAGCAATAAATCTAGCAGAGAACTGGTCACATATTTCTAACAAGCTGTAAACTAAAGGGCTCTACCCAAGAGATAAGGGCAGGAGCAGATTACTGGAATTCTCTTCTTCAGTGTGCAGGGCCTGCTGGCTCAAATCGTTGTTGACATTAGGGATTTGCATAGCTGTCAGTCTCTTGTACAATCAGTTATAGCCTGCCGTACAGTACAGGGTTTTCTGTTACCGTGAGCAAAAAAATTCATGAGACAAACACTTCAGGCATATTAACAGACTGCTGTTCTGTTCCTCAAAAAATGCGACCTTGTGCTCACTTTATAGTGTAATATTACAGAAGACAGGCTGCCTCATCCTATCCAGTCATATTAGCCTGCAAAAGCCAGTCTTTGGAACATACATGCAGACCTAAGGGTCAGCCAGTCCTACGTTATTTAACCTAGGTGGTAATCAACCAGGTGCTTCCTATAAAAACTGGAAAAGCCACAGGAGCAGCAGAGATTGATATGAAATCAGAAAGCAGAAGAGCTTTTGGAAATAACAGTTAAGGACAGGGAGAATCTGTTCTGACCTTGACCAAGTTTCATGCTGAAAAATAGAAGAGTAGCACCCTGAAGGCCCAGCAGCCTGGAAGCTTACAGCTGCAGAGGAATTCCTCTGGTTTTGGGGAATGCACAGGTGTCGCAAGGAAAACAGAGCTGCCTCTATAGTCCTCCTGCTCCCTTCTCCAGCCTCAGCATCACAGGTACTATCAAAGTGTTGCTGCACTGAAGCTACTGTTACTGCTACTCAGAGGTTATCGTAACAGGCTTAGTTTTACAGTAACACTAAACTGATCTCAAATTTATGAAAGAATTCCGCTATTTCCTGTCAGCTGTTGCAGAGACACAAAGGCTGGATAAATTTTCCAGACCCCAACAACAAATCCCTTCCCACTTCTTCCTTATTGAAGGCCCTACAATACTCATTAATTACGGATGATAAATACTACTTAGTTTTGGGGGGGGTTTTAATCTTCAATTTGCCAGGCTCTGTCTGAGCACAGCTACTCTGTACTATAGTAGAAAAGCCTCTGGAAATAGCACCTCTGCCCAGTGAGAATCTGTTTGACTTTGGTCAGGTTTCTCATTGAAAAGAGTAGAAGAGAGTTGAGAAGTTAATAAGAACTGACGTTTTTAGTTACATAGATCCAAACACAATTCAAAATCCTAAAGAAACCAGACCATACTCTAACAAAAAATCTGCCATAAATTATCATATGGGCCCTTGATATGAAATACTAAATCACCTCTCCATTTATCACGTGGTTCGAGGACACAGTTTCTGCTGGCTAATATCAAAAACATCACATAATTATTTTCAAAATAATAATTTTTTTTTTTTAAAGTGCTGTAAAGTCAGTCTTGCATTACAATTGTTCTAAGCAAAAGAACTGGTCCAGAGATAGGAAGATCTAAAATGCAAATGATTACCACAAAGCTACAACCTCCTATAGCTAAAGCAACTGACAGAGCTTGTTTCCAGTAGATTCAGAGGAATGATAAAAATTACTTCAAACGGGGGTGGGGAAAGAAGCTTCTTAGAATGCACGCAATCATTTGAAAACTCAACTTTACGTGTTTGCTGTGGCAAGGTAAAAACATCATTTATAGGGTCTGAAAAACTGGAGGCCAGCTTGCTCATGTTGCCTAAATACGCTGTTATTCTCCTTTTGGGGGCTGCTGAGATTCTGTACTTAATAATAGTACTTTCTTATTGGCTGATTAAAAACCACCTCCAAACCTCTGAATTCTGACTATTTAAGTGCAGGTCATCCAGCCTGAGAGATGTTCCTTAGGCTTTCCTGCCAGATTACCAACACTATGGAGGAACGAACACATGACATTTCATGCAAATGGGTATCAAAACCAAGTAAGTATAAATATAATCAAGAAAAGCTTCAGTTTAATAGGTGACACCAGGTGAGTCCATAACTGTCACGCACTTCATGTTTGAGGATCCATAAAGAAAGCTGAGAATTCCCTCTCCTAACCAAACCACAGGATAATTATTATAGCAATGCAGCAGGTTTCCAATCCAACAGTCTGAGAATTTAACAAACAGCGACCCTCTGAAGCACAGCATTTTGCATTTAACCTCCCCTCCAAAGAAGCCCTTCTTAAGAAAGGAAACCAAATTCCTTCAGTTACGTCCTACTCATGGCAACCTTTAAGTTGCTCTCAGTAACATCCCACGGTTTAAAAATTCAATACCCAATCCTCAAATTCACACCTGAGTTTGGTTTTGAGGAATCAGGTTAGAGTTCCACAGTTAGTAGGAAATGCATACATTCAAGAACTTGCAAGACATTTAGCCACAATTACCTGTGTACAGAAGCTTTGACAATATTTTGAGCAACCCTCCCTGCAAAATCCCTCCAAAAAAAAAAAAAACCCAACAACCAAACACACACCACCCCTAAAAAAACCCATGTCTGCTAACTTCTACCCATAAATTTACCTGCTTGCCTGGGTGCTGCTGTACTATGTATTCTTCATAATCGTAAACCAAGAACTACAATATTACCTCTGTAACAAAAGTTCTGCCAAACTATCCATACATTTTTCTCGTATTGAATGTAAACACTGCAAGGAGGGAGCCTCTTCAGCTGAAGACTCTGGAATGCCTCAAATACTTTAGCATATGATTCAAAGAATGTTTGACTTTACAGATATAGAAACCCTGAAAATTTTACTCCCTAAGAGACAGTGTGCTTTGAACTTCTGCCATCATGCAATCAATAATGGAAATAGTAGAAATTATAGCAGAACAATAGCCCAAAAGGAACTGAAATTGAACTGTACACATTCCTGTTTGTCAAAATGCAGCATTCAACAAAAGAGCAGAGTTTGGAAGTCATATGTTTCTCCTAACTACATGCAAACAAGGTTGACTCATGCCAATATAATGCTAAAAATGCTAGGTGAACTTGTGGTTACAGAGAGTGGCATTTCTCCTTCTTCAGTCTGTAATTTTGGAAAGTATATGGGAATGGAATTGGCAGGAGTCAGATTGTGAATTCAGAGAACCGGAGGGCATGACAGGTTTCCAGGTGACTTCTGACATGTTCTAGTTTTTGTTATGAACGAGGGTGAGGGAATATAAAGGACGAAGTCTTTACAATCAACATGTCATTTAGGAAAACAGTATGAGACTGGACATAGAGTAAAACACGTATCTGGTCGGCAAGACCAAACGTGCACTAAGCTCTAATCCGCTGGGGGGTGCATCTCTTCACATCATTGCTCAAAACAAAAAACAATCACATGAACAATTAAAAAATAACGTTTGCTTCACCAAAACAACATACTAAATACCCTTCTACTCATGCCCTCTTGGCTTTGGGATGCAAACACAAACTTTTTGGCTCAGCTTGTCTTCATGAAAACTTTCTGATGTTCACACAGTCTGAAGAAGTGTTCTGATGACTCATTTAACCTGACACAGGTACAAGAGTAAGCGCCCCTTCCATACCACAACGTAACACAACTAGTGGCAATGGCTGCTACTCTGTAGTTTCAATACATTGGAGGAGGAGGAGTGAGGGAAAGGGAAATCTCCAGTTCAGCCTCAGAGATTCACAAATGGCATAACAAACAGTACAAGGCTGTATGTGCTCACGCTAATGGAAACCTCATAAAAGGAAATAGAAAAGTGATTTCGGAGTTCAAATTCAGACTCCCAAGCTATCTCAAAACTCAAGTTCTATCTAAACTAGTTCTGCACATTAAAAGATTCACACTTCTCTCAAAGTTTTATTGATCTGCAGTCCAGGTGATACTCCCTGTTAGATCAAACTCTCTGAAGTCTCTACCTGGTGTTATCATATCACCAATGCTACAATACTTTGCTCAAAGTCTTACCATGTCTTTATCGTTACATATGCTATAAAGCTAAGAGGGCTCGGACACGGTTTAATACACTCAACTGAAGAACAACTGCATTACGTTCTCAAGTCTTTACAAGATGGGAGTCAACTTTTGAGAAAACCCTACGTACTTTTGACACATCACAACCTCCTCACAACCTCCTCTCACCCACCTGCCCTCTCTCCTTCAAAACTAGTAACAATAAATTATGATGACTGGAAGATACATTACATTAGTCTCTTCTCCCTACTAAGCTACTCTGCACATTTGTATCCACTATGCAGATGCACATGGGAAATAATGAAAGTGATCAACCTTAATGGTGAAGAAAGTCAAGTTCAGCACAAAAACCAGATCAATTTCCTCAGATTTAATTTTTGTGTAGTAAAAGAATAAATTAGAGAAACAGAAAAGTCACGACTGAAAAGCCACCAAAGTTAACGTATCATAGGAAGAAATACAGTTAAAACTACAGCCACTATAAACTCAAGGTAGACTTCACGTTAATTGTCTTCCTAGAAGCAATGTAGCTGTCTTCATTAGTATAACAAAAAAAAAAAAAAAAAAAAAAAAA